CCTTGTTGTAGTGAGCCTTGGAGTCCTTCTTCGTTGTTGTAGCGAGCCTTGGGGTCCTTTTGCCTTTGGGGTCGTTATACCTTGTTATTGCGAACCTTGAAGTCGTTATACCTTGTTATTGCGAGCCTTGGGGTCCTTATACCTTGTTATTGCGAGCCTTGGGGTCCTTGGACCTTGTTATTGCGAGCCTTGAGGTCGTTATACCTTGTTGTAGCGAGCCTTGGAGTCCTTATACCTTGTTGTAGCGAGGCTTGGGGTCCTTATGCCTTTGGGGTCGTTATACCTTGTTATTGCGAGCCTTGAAGTCGTTATGCCTTGTTATTGCGAGCCTTGGGGTTCTTAGAACTTGTTATTGCGAGCCTTGGGTACCTTAGAACTTGTTATTGCGAGCCTTGGGGTCCTTATACCTTGTTATTGCGAGCCTTGGGGTCCTTGGACCTTGTTATTGCGAGCCTTGAGGTCGTTATACCTTGTTATTGCGAGCCTTGGGGTCGTTATACCTTGTTGTAGCGAGCCTTGGAGTCCTTATACCTTGTTGTAGCGAGCCTTGGGGTCCTTATGCCTTTGGGGTCGTTATACCTTGTTATTGCGAGCCTTGAAGTCCTTAAACCTTGTTATTGCGAGCCTTGGGGTCGTTATACCTTGTTATTGCGAGCCTTGGAGGCGTTATACCTTGTTATTGCGAGCCTTGGAGTCCTTATACCTTGTTATTGCAAGCCTTGGAGTCGGTATACCTTGTTATTGCGAGCCTTGGGGTCCTTACACCTTGTTATTGCGAGCTCTTTTACCTTGTTACTGCGAGCCTTGGGGTCCTTATACCTTGATATTGCGAGCCTTGGGGTCCTTATACCTTGTTATTGCAAGCTTTGGGGTCCTTATACCTTGTTATTGCGAGCCTTGGGGTCCTTATACCTTGTTATTGCGAGCCTTGGGGTCCTTATACCTTGTTACTGCGAGCCTTGGGGTCCTTATACCTTTGGGGTCCTTATACCTTTGGGGTCCTTAGACCTTGTTACTGCGAGCCTTTGGGTCATTATACGTTGTTATTGCGAGCCTTGGGGTCCTTCATTGCTATTGCAAGCCTTGGGGTCCTTATACCTTGTATTTGCAAGCCTTGGGGTCCTTATACCTTGTTATTGCGAGCCTTGGAGTCGTTATACCTTGTTATTGCGAGCCTTGGGGTCCTTATACCTTGTTGTAGCGAGCCTTGGAGTCCTTATACCTTGTTATTGCAAGCCTTGGAGTCGGTATACCCTGTTATTGCGAGCCTTGGGGTCCTTACACCTTGTTATTGCGAGCCTTGGGGTCGTTATACCTTGTTATTGCGAGCCTTGGGGTCGTTATACCTTGTTATTGCGAGCCTTGGAGTCGTTGTACCTTGTTATTGCGAGCCTTGGGAATTATACCTTGGTATTGCGAGCCTTGGGGTCGTTATGCCTTGTTATTGCGAGCCTTGGGGTCGTTATACCTTGTTATTGCGAGCCTTGGGGTCGTTATACCTTGTTATTGCAAGCCTTGGGTCGTTATACCTTGTTATTGCGAGCCTTGGGGTCGTTATGCCTTGTTATTGCAAGCCTTGGAGTCCTTATACCTTGTTGTAGTGAGCCTTGGAGTCCTTCTTCCTTGTTGTAGCGAGCCTTGGGGTCCTTGTGCCTTTGGGGTCGTTATACCTTGTTATTGCGAGCCTTGAAGTCGTTATACCTTGTTATTGCGAGCCTTGGGGTCCTTATACCTTGTTATTGCGAGCCTTGGGGTCCTTGGACCTTGTTATTGCGAGCCTTGAGGTCGTTATACCTTGTTGTAGCGAGCCTTGGAGTCCTTATACCTTGTTGTAGCGAGGTTTGGTGTCCTTATGCCTTTGGGGTCGTTATACCTTGTTATTGCGAGCCTTGAAGTCGTTATACCTTGTTATTGCGAGCCTTGGGGTCCTTAGAACTTGTTATTGCTAGCCTTGGGGTCCTTAGAACTTGTTATTGCGAGGCTTGGGGTCCTTATACCTTGTTATTGCGAGCCTTGGGGTCCTTGGACCTTGTTATTGCGAGCCTTGAGGTCGTTATACCTTGTTATTGCGAGCCTTGGGGTCGTTATACCTTGTTGTAGCGAGCCTTGGAGTCCTTATACCTTGTTGTAGCGAGCCTTGGGGTCCTTATGCCTTTGGGGTCGTTATACCTTGTTATTGCGAGCCTTGAAGTCCTTAAACCTTGTTATTGCGAGCCTTGGAGGCGTTATACCTTGTTATTGCGAGCCTTGGGGTCCTTATACCTTGTTATTGCGAGCCTTGGAGTCGGTATACCTTGTTATTGCAAGCCTTGGAGTCGGTATACCTTGTTATTGCGAGCCTTGGGGTCCTTACACCTTGTTATTGCGAGCTCTTTTACCTTGTTACTGCGAGCCTTGGGGTCCTTATACCTTGATATTGCGAGCCTTGGGGTCCTTATACCTTGTTATTGCAAGCTTTGGGGTCCTTATACCTTGTTATTGCGAGCCTTGGGGTCCTTATACCTTGTTATTGCGAGCCTTGGGGTCCTTATACCTTGTTACTGCGAGCCTTGGGGTCCTTATACCTTTGGGGTCCTTATACCTTGTTACTGCGAGCCTTTGGGTCATTATACGTTGTTATTGCGAGCCTTGGGGTCCTTATACCTTGTATTTGCAAGCCTTGGAGTCGTTATACCTTGTTATTGCGAGCCTTGAAGTCCTTAAACCTTGTTATTGCGAGCCTTGGAGGCGTTATACCTTGTTATTGCGAGCCTTGGGGTCCTTATACCTTGTTATTGCGAGCCTTGGAGTCGGTATACCTTGTTATTGCAAGCCTTGGAGTCGGTATACCTTGTTATTGCGAGCCTTGGGGTCCTTACACCTTGTTATTGCGAGCTCTTTTACCTTGTTACTGCGAGCCTTGGGGTCCTTATACCTTGATATTGCGAGCCTTGGGGTCCTTATACCTTGTTATTGCAAGCTTTGGGGTCCTTATACCTTGTTATTGCGAGCCTTGGGGTCCTTATACCTTGTTATTGCGAGCCTTGGGGTCCTTATACCTTGTTACTGCGAGCCTTGGGGTCCTTATACCTTTGGGGTCCTTATACCTTGTTACTGCGAGCCTTTGGGTCATTATACGTTGTTATTGCGAGCCTTGGGGTCCTTATACCTTGTACTTGCAAGCCTTGGAGTCGTTATACCTTGTTATTGCGATCCTTGGGGTCCTTATACCTTGTTGTAGCGAGCCTTGGAGTCCTTATACCTTGTTATTGCAAGCCTTGGAGTCGGTATACCTTGTTATTGCGAGCCTTGGGGTCCTTACACCTTGTTATTGCGAGCCTTGGGGTCGTTATACCTTGTTATTGCGAGCCTTGGGGTCGTTATACCTTGTTATTGCGAGCCTTGGGGTCGTTATACCTTGTTATTGCGAGCCTTGGGGTCGTTTTACCTTGTTATTGCGAGCTCTTTTACCTTGTTACTGCGAGCCTTGGGGTCCTTATACCTTGATATTGCGAGCCTTGGGGTCCTTATACCTTGTTATTGCAAGCTTTGGGGTCCTTATACCTTGTAATTGCGAGCCTTGGGGTCCTTATACCTTGTTATTGCGAGCCTTGGGGTCCTTATACCTTGTTACTGCGAGCCTTGGGGTCGTTATACCTTTGGGGTCCTTATACCTTGTTAGTGCGAGCCTTGGGGTCCTTCATTGTTATTGCGAGCCTTGGGGTCGTTATACTTTGTTATAGCTAAACACATCGAATTATCATGAAACGGCCCTCCTGTTATCAGAAATTTGCGGGCCGCTGCAAATGATATTGGACCGGACAACCTTAACGACGGGCCACTATCAGTTCTGTTGTCAAGTGACGTCATAGCGGGTGCGTCAGTTCATTCAACATTGGCTTTGGACTGGCAGATATTCTGGGTCAAACAAGTCAGAGCAACCCGAATTCCCGCATTAAATAGCGGTAATATTGGGTTTCTTGCTGGTGCTAACCTTAACAATTGCACTATTAACGCTGTTGTTGATCCAAGACCGAACACTGACATAGTTTGACATGTTGCAGGCTATGGTCTTGTCAAAGGCCAAGGTCGATTATCGTCACTTTCTGTTGTGACGTAACTTGAATTGTTCGGTGACGTAATTGCATTCGGGCAGTCAACCCGTGAGAAGTTGATTTGGGTAAACTTACAGTCAAATTCCTTCATTGTTTCCTTTTTCCTTTCAACACAAATTCCATGTATTTTAGCAATAATAACGGTAATGCTATTTTTGAGGGCATTATCATTTGCAGAAGCCCTCGGTCTTTTTCAACTGCGCTCCTTCGTCGGGCAGGTAATGGAAGACCTCGGCTTCTGCAAATGATAATGCCCTCAAAAACAGCATTACCCTTATAATATTGCGAGCCTTGGGGTCCTTCATTGTTATTGCGAGCCTTGGGGTGGTTAACGTTGTTATTGCAAGCCTTGGGGTCGTTGTATGTTGTTTACGCGTTCGGTGTTCATTATCTGGCAAAATAGTCAATGGTGATCCCTGTCATATAACCGCTTCATACTTTCTATTGATGATAAACGTATTCTCATGTCGTACGTGTGGTTCATAAGTTTCCACGAATCTGTGCATTATTGTATTACTTCACAAGGTCAGCCCGGATGAGACAATATGTGCTTCCAACTGAAAAACAACAATCTAGATAGTGGCCGTCAGTTACCCTTTGGGGCACCTTTAACCGTGATTGTTTGTCGAAGATTATGTCTACATGTTTATCAACTTCAGTATCATCTGAAACCCACACTGCATATAACATGAGTATCAATGGGCTGATAGCATGTAGAACTGAGTGAATGAGTGGCATGTCAAATGTTCGAGGAAGTTGCTTAAGGAAGTCAGCGACTTAGAGAGCTGTACAAAGATCAAGGATAAAAGATGAACAGACATACCACACCCTATGTTGAGACAATTCAGTAACTGACAGGTGGAGACACTTGGAAGGCAAAGTGACTGGACAAGACTGACCACTTACCTTACAGCAGGTCAGCAAGATAGCACTGTTAGCAAACAAATAAGCGCAACACTATATATATAACAACGTCTCTTGTTATCAACTGGCTTGCCGTGCTGTCACAGATCCTAATATACCCGCGTCAGGGCACAGATGTGGCACATCACAATACACACCTAAAAACACAATCCGGTAGAGGAATGATATGATATAACATATCTGGACATCTCCAATGTAATCTCGAGTTATTAAAGAGGAATACACTAATAACCTCTAAAAGCTTTCTTGTCACGGTAATTGTTTTCAGCATTACTATCGTGCGTTCACAATTTCTGTTCCGTCATGGAATTTGGACAAGTTTGAGATAAATGTGATCTAAACAGGTTCATAAACAGCTTATCAGCTTCCCATTTCTGGTCACACTACGTGTGCTATGAATAATATACCCTGCAAAAAAAGAAACGCATTGATGCAAATGAGATAGTGATAATGACAAGTTTGCTCTCTCGTAAAGTTTTCACCAAAAAAGTTATCGAACCGTGTTAGTCACAGGCTGGAGTAGTGCACACTTTACGGTTTTGCAGCTTTGTGATATTTATAACAGATACCAGGGCGTCATCGAAAATTGCAGCTTTAAACTTCTGTGGAATAGGTCCTTATACAAGCTCAGACTTCAAGCCAATAAATCTCATCTTGTCCTTTTTGATAAAGCCAATAAATGTATTTATAGCATTGAATTTTCTGTCCCTTTTGACAGCAATGTGATTGGCAAGATTCAGGAAAAGCATGCTAAATATCCGCACCTCGCCTTTGAAATGTCCCGCTTGCATCCCAAGTACACTGTCGTCGGATCAGGACAGTGCCTGGGAGTTCAGCCCTTCTGCTACTCTGGGTAATGCAGAAGGCTGCAGTGTTGGGGAGATTTTAATATTCTCCGGAAAGTTCTTGGTGGGTTCGACTAGGCAGCGTTTCCTGGGAGATGTCCCATTCGCTGTCTGGGCTGCGTGTAGAGGGGGCGAGGGCCCTGAGGTGACGATGAGCCTTACCAGCCTGACTGTGCCAGGATCACCCGAGCCTGGTGCATACTACTTTTAATCTGTAAAACATAATATTCCAGGGGGACTCCTTCAGTCCTTTTTTTTTTAGTTTGTCTTTAAGTCCTTTGAGTTTTCAGCTCAATAGGAAGGAGGGTTACCATCCCGGACCTCCTCAGCACAAATCCCCCAAAAGGCTTACTCATCTCCTTCACATAAATGACATCGAGCTCCTTGCCAAAGGGGACGCCAATTTGAAAGAACAGGTTCTCCTTGTCGAGTCCACTTCTAATGATATTGGTATGAGTTTTGTATTCGACAAATGTAATACTCTTCACTTGAAATGTGGCAAGGTAGTTAATGATGGATTGGTCAAGTTACAAGGGGGAAGGAGTTATTGACCATCTTGTGGAAGATCAGGCCTACACCTATCTTGGAATGCAATTTCGAGACAAGCTCCAGAATGCCCAGATTCAAGACAAATTCGGACCGAGTATAAAGCTCGCCATTCCATTCCTTTCCTATTCCTTTGGAGTAGTCGATTGGACAAAACAAGACATCCAGAATACTGACCGCCCGACCAGAAGGATCATGCCTGATAACAGAGCCCACCACCGTCGTTCCTCTCTTAATCGTATATAAATATATATGTCAATCAGTTCGGGAGGTCGGGGTTTGATTATTGTGGAGGTTTTTCATGATAAAATTATTTTGTTTACTTTTGCACATATTTATTTATCGGATGATCCTCTGGTGATGCATGTCAAGACGCATGATGAAAACAAGGAATTCCACAGTTATTTTAAGCGTGCCAAGGTTGTTGGACAGAATCTCAAATTTGATGTTGATTTTGTTGATGACGATGTACTGCTGGACGGTACAGCGATGGGAGTAAACCAGGTGAAGTCCTTCACCAATTCTGTATAGAGTCGGTCATTTGTTGAGAAGCTTTCTGAGAAGCCATTGCATCGTGAGTACATGCAGTGTGTGGAACAAAATAGCAATTCCACCGACTCCTTCGCCTGGATGAAGTTGGCTGGTCTTAAATGTGAAAGTGGGGGCTTTCGTTTTGCTGCCCAGGATCAGTCACTCGCAATTGCCAAAATGTGGTTCTTAAAGAAAATATCATTATGAAATGCCGACTTTGCAATGAATTTACAGAGACTGTCCAACACCAGTGGATGCTCTTCCTTGGCACAAACATCATATCTTAAACGACATGATAGCATGGCCCGTTGCTTTTACTACCGTCTCCGCCATGCCCGTGGCTTTGACACCGAGGTACGACCCTGAACATGTCCAGGGCGTCATGGAAAATGTTGCTTACAAACGTCTTTGGAATAGGCCCATATACAGGCTCAGAAGAATTCCAGCCAACAAACATGATCTTGTCCTTTTTGATAAAGCCAATGAAATAATATCATTGAATTTTCTGTCCCTTTTGACAGCAATGTGATTGGCAAGATTCAGGAAAAGCATGCTAAATATGCAGACCTCGCCTTTGAAATGTCTCGCTTGCATCCCATGTACACTGTCGACTAACTCCCCGTTGTTCTCGGTGCACTTGGTGTTGGTACCTCCCGATCTCTTGGTGCAGATCAGGAGAGTGCCCGAGTTCTCCCCCGGGAGCACAGCCCTTCTAACACCCTGGGTAATGCAGAAGGGTGCAATGTTGTGGAGTCTACATATTCTCCGGAAAGCCCTTGATAGGTTCAACTAGGCAGCGTTTCCTGGGAGAAGTCCCATTCGCTGTCTGGGCTGCGTGTAGAGGGGGCGAGGGCCCTGAGGTGACGATGAGCCTCACCAGCCTGTCTGTGCCAGGATCACCCGAACCCTCCCTGCTACAAACTACTTTTAATCTGTGAAACATTATAATGAAGTAAATATTTATATAGCGCCTGTTCAAACATATTACTCAGAGGCGCTCAGACAAAGGCAGTGTCAAGAAACTATGTTTTAGCATTCGTTTGAACTGGACGATATCGCATATGATGCATGTGTCTGTATACACCATTTTTTTATGTTTACGCACATAATTTTCATGGAAAGAAAAATGAAAAGCAGAATGCATGTGCAAGTTGTCATGTGCGGTGACAATGACTATTAGACATATAAGGTCAGTCGACGTTATGTCATACCTTTGGCGACTTGTTAGGAAAGGGAAAATGCCCGGGCTGAAGACTTTTAGTCACAAGAAATATGGTGAAAACTATATATGGTCATCCTGATATCACGAAGCACAGAGATAACAGCCCTGTGGTGCAGGAAGTTGGTCCATGCGGAGTAAGCGATTCAAATGCACAGACACGATTGTTGGTTCTAAAAAACCTACCATGTTTTCGTATTGATTGTTTTCTGTTTGGCTTTCCAGATCGAGTTTGATATCCGTTTTGATACGTAATAGCAGCTGATAAACATAGCCATAATATTCAAAACAATTTGTATCATATTAAGTTATCAACTTTTATCTTATCTATTATGCTCACACATGGGGATATTTGAGTCGTAATATTATTAATCAACTCTATACTTTGTTGTACATCGAAATTACATATCGTGAAGCATTTGGTTTCCTGATCCCTGGTAGATACATTTGTCATGTACAAAGTACACTGCTGATAATACACTTATTGGACATGCAGTTCTCCTCAATAAACCTTCAAACTTACAAACCTATTTTAAATATAAATTTTGTGATGGTTTATGGGAGAAAATGGATTTTTAGAGGTGTATTCCAATTCTGTTTGACATTTGTCTTTGTGTGTATGGGGCGGTGGGGTAGCCTAGCGGTTTAGGCGTTCGCTCGTCGAGACCCAGGTTCGATTCCTCACATGGGTACAATGTGTGAAGCCCATTTCTGGTGTCCCCCTGGTGGAATAGTATTCAGTTTCCTAACCACCACCACCCCATTGAGACCTGTAAAATATTATAGAACGGTGTTGAAAGTTTTATAGAATTACCGGCGCGGTGGTGTAGCCTAATGGTTAAAGCGTTCGCTCATCACGCCGAATACCAGGGCTCGATTCCCGACAAGGGTACAATGTATGAACCAATGCCTGGTGTCCCCAGCCATGACATTGCTGGAATGTTGCTAAATGCGGAGTAAAACCATACTCACTCACTCACTTTATTCGTTGTGTTAATGTCATTTGTTTGTTGCTCTTGACGCTCTGAATGTGGTAATTGTTGTGACACTATCCAAAGACATTGCTCCAGTTTGGCACAAGAAGGACCGAAGGGAAACCTCATGAAGCATCAAACAAATACACTCTTAAAAAAGAAACGCGTAGGTGATTTTGAGAATATTGGTCTATGTAGCTGCGGCAAAAAGAATACAAATGCATTTATACTATTTCTCTCCAAAACGTCATCTTTGTGTGGTTGTAAACAGCTTCAGCTCCTAAACGCGGCAATTTTAACTTTTTTCTCCCTTGTTTTAAAAGAGTTTGAAGAAATATTCGCCCAAACGTCACCAAGAAAATATGCAAAGCAAAATGCACGTGCAAGTAAGCGGAAAAGCTAGCGGAATCGATCACTATGAAAAGACCAACGTTGTGTGTAATTCTGTCATTCGGCTTTGCCTGGGAAAGAGAAAATCATGGCGTCATGACTCGGTGCCGCCAATCGAAACATCGCCAAACGCCGCCTTGAAGCTGGGGAGTCGCCGTCTGCAGAAGCGCCCGTCCAAGACTTACCACCCAAGGCCAGGACCGGTACATCCGGGCTCCTCACTGGCGTCATCGTCTTGCCACAGCCGTGGAGACCGCCCAACGCATCCATGGTTTGAGAGGAATTTCCGACCAAACTGTCGGGATTCGATTGCATGAAATGGGGATTTGACCAAGAAGGCCAGTTGTCGCCCCTGTTTTGAGAGACTTCCATCGGTGCAATCGTTTGCGGTGGTGTCGTAGAGTCCGGAATAAGAGGCGAGTCTGGTTCAGTGATGAATCACGATTTCTTCTTCACCGGCGAGATGGAAGACAGGGTGGTTACCGTCGGAGAATTTAACGTTTTGCCCCTAATTGCATTCGACAGGTTGACAGATTCGGTGGTGACAGTGTCATGGTGTGGGATGTGATATCCCGCACA